CCTCCCTCCTGTCTGTCTGACTCTCTCCCTCCCTCCTGTCTGTCTGAGTCTCTCTGTCCCTCCCTCCTGCCTGTCTGACTCTCTCCCTCCCTCCCTCCCGTCAGTCTGACTCTCTCTCTCCCTCCCTCCTGCCTGTCTGACTCTCTCCCTCCCTCCCTCCTGTCTGCCCGCCTGTCTGACTCTCTCCTGTCTCCCCCCTCCTGTCTGTGTGCCTGTCTGTCTCTCAGGAGAAGAGGATCTCCAGCCTTGACTCCTCTAACAGTCGTTTGATGGCCGCTCTGACTCAGTTGAAGGAGCGCTACGCTGTGACATCACAGAGGAACGGCCTGTCTCCTAGCAACACGTCCTCTCTGCAGATCACAGAGAACGGAGAGTTCCGGAACTCCGGCATTTAATCAACCAATCACAGAGCGGGATCTGACCTCTGACATGACTCCACCCCTCAGTTCATATTTTAGTTTTGCATGTTTCCTTTTTCAACATATTCTGATGTCAGATCCGTTTTTCATTTTGCTACTTCCTGAAACTTCTTGATTTTAGCTCAACTTCACCTGTATATGGCTCTGGTCTAATTGGACTAACTGGAACAACTCCACCTGTATATGGCTCTGGTCTAATTGGACTAATTGGAACAACTCCACCTGTATATGGCTCTGGTGTGACTGGACTAACTAGAACTCCATCTATATATGGCTCTGGTGTGATCAGAATAAGGCTATACATACAGTTTTGGTCCAAGTGTTGTAACCTCGTCTGTATATGGCTCAGGTGTTTTTTTGAAAGTTAAACTGTATATATTCATCATTTTTTAGGCTCTTTATGTTTAGAATCTGTCTAAAAGGAACAGTCCAACACTTTAGTCTCGGCCATGACGCACAGAGTCAGATCCGGTCCTGGAAGCAGGGAGGAGCTGTTAGCTTAGCTCGATGTGTTGGTTGTTCTGGCCTTCCGTAGTTCAGAGAATTTGCCGTTAGTTTGTTTCGGAGAGTTTACTTATTTTAATGTTCAGATTTATTGTAAAACAGTAAACATTTACAATTGTGATGAAAAGTTTGTGAACACACACTCCACTGGATTCTACTGGACCCTACTGAACTCTACTGGGCTCTAATGGACTCTGCTGGACTTTACTGGACTCTAATGGACTCTGCTGGGCTCTAATGTACTCTGCTGAACTCTAATGGACTCTACTGGGCTCTAATGGACTCTGCTGGACTTTACTTGGCTCTAATGTACTCTAATGGACTTTACTTGGCTCTAATGGACTGTAATGGACTCTAATGGACTCTGCTGGACTTTACTTGGCTCTAATGGACTCTGCTGGACTCTAATGGACTCTACTGAACTCTACTGGGCTCTAATGGACACTACTGAAATCTACTGGGCTCTAATGGACTCTACTGGAGGGCTCTAATGGACTCTACTGTACTCTAATGGGCTCTACTGGACTCTACTGTGGCTTGTATCTGTTCTTGTTATTTATTATAAAGAGATGCTCCAATAAACTATTAATCTATTAAACTGTTGATATGGTGATGAGTGACACCTCACACACATCCATCAGACAGGTTTTATTTATTAGAACAAAGCAGTGAGACTTAATGTATAAACAGGAAATGATGTCACTCTTTTTCGCGGTTCCAACCCAGGAACCACCCGGTGAAGGTCGATGGTTCAAATCCCTGTTTCACCGTCACAGTCAGGGTACGAGGGTCTCTGTCAGCCGGGTCGCTCTCCAGGTACCTGACAGCTACACACAGTTAGCTGATAGCATCACAGTTAGCTGTTAGCATACAGGAACACCTGGACCAGGTGTACACACCGTTAGCTGTTAGCATCCAGGAACACCTGGACCAGGTGTACAGACAGTTAGCTGTTAGCATCCTGAACAACTTGGACCAGTGTTACACACAGTTAGCTGTTAGCATCCAGGAACACCTGGACCAGGTGTACACACAGTTAGCTGTTAGCATCCAGGAACACCTGGACCAGGTGTACAGACAGTTAGCTGTTAGCATCCTGAACCACCTCGACCAGGTGTACACACAGTTAGCTGTTAGCATCCAGTAACACCAGGACCAGGTGTACACACGGTTAGCATGACAGTTAGCTGTTAGCATCCTGAACAACTTGGACCAGTGTTACACACAGTTAACTGTTAGCATCCAGGAACACCTGGACCAGGTGTACACACAGTTAGCTGTTAGCATCCAGGCAGTGGTGAGCCGTCAGGGCCAGCTAGATGATGATTCGATTAGATAGATTAGATACTTTATTCATCCCCAAGGGGACATTTGTCTGTGGCAGCATCAAATGAAGTTACACAATAAAATAAAAATATTAAGTATGGAAAATGCACAATATATACAATACAATAAAATCGGGGAAATTGGGGAACTCAAACGACTGTTGGGGCAGTTGGGGAACTCAAACGACTGTGGGGCCGGTTGGGGAACTCAAATGAGTGTTGGGTGTTGGGGAACTCAAATGAGTGTTGGGGCATTGTCGAACTCAAACAAGTGTTGGGGTGTTGGGGAACTCAAACGAGTGTTTGGGCGTTGGGGAACTCAAATGAGTGTTGGAGGATTGGGGAACTCAAACGAGTGTTGGGGCGTTGGGGAACTCAAAGGAGTGTTGGGGCGTTGGGGAACTCAAAGGAGTGTTGGGGTGTTGGGGAACTCAAACGAGTGTTGGGGTGTTGGGGAACTCAAACGAGTGTTGGGGCGTTGGGGAACTCAAACGAGTGTTGGGGCGTTGGGGAACTCAAAGGAGTGTTGGGGCGTTGGGGAACTCAAACGGGTGTTGGGGCGTTGGGGAACTCAAACGAGTGTTTGGGCGTTGGGGAACTCAAACGAGTGTTGGGGCGTTGGGGAACTCAAACGAGTGTTGGGGCGTTGGGGAACTCAAACGAGTGTTGGGGCGTTGGGGAACTCAAACAAGTGTTGGGGCGTTGGGGAACTCAAACGAGTGTTTGGGCGTTGGGGAACTCAAACGAGTGTTGGGGTGTTGGGGAACTCAAACGAGTATTAGGGCGTTGGGGAACTCAAACGAGTGTTGGGGCGTTGGGGAACTCAAACGACTGTTGGGGCGTTGGGGAACTCAAAGGAGTGTTTGGGCGTTGGGGAACTCAAAGGAGTGTTTGGGCGTTGGGGAACTCAAAGGAGTGTTTGGGCGTTGGGGAACTCAAACGGGTGTTGGGGCGTTGGGGAACTCAAACGAGTGTTGGCGCGTTGGCGAACTCAAAGGAGTGTTGGGGTATTGGGGCAGTTGGTGAACTGAAACGACTGTGGGGGGCGTTGGGGAACTCAAATGAGTGTGGGGAGCATCTCAAAGATTAACATATCATAGTTTCCTTTCTCACCTCATCTACAGGAGCAATTTTGGGGTTAAGTGTCTTGCTCAAGGACACATCGACACGCGACAAGCGGAGCCGGGGATTGAACCGCGGATCCTCTGATTGAAGGACGGCCACAGTTGCCCACCACACACATCACCTGATGATCCCCTGAACACACCTGAACAAACGTGACACACCAGCTGACATAATGAGCCTGAAGCTCTGCTACTGAAACCTGAAACCTGTTGAATTGATAATAATCATATTCAACTACATGAGCACACGGAGCTTAATAGAAATGTGATAAAGTGTATATAAATATATATTTATACATACGTATATATGTGTATATACATGTGTATATATGTATGTATATATGTGTATATATGTATGTGTTTATACTGTATGTGTGTATATATGTGTATATATATATATGTATATATATATATATATATATGTGTGTATATACAGTGGTGTATAAAGTACCCAAAAGTCATACTTGAGTAAAAGTAAAGATACCTTACTGGAAAATGACTCCAGTAAAAGTCACCTATTAGAATACTACTTGAGTAAAAGTCTTAAAGTATCTGATATTTATTGTACTTAAGTATCAAAAGTAATTTTCTGATATTAAATGTACTTAAGTATTGAAAGTAAAAGTACAAGCAAATGCTGTTAATAAAAAAGCAAAGGCTCAGAATTTTGAGAATTATGAAGTTTATTCTTTTAAGTGCTGTGGCACCATGACCAAGGACATGGAGCTGTGTTGAACATAATTGGGTTGGCTGTGAGCCATCCAGGAGCAACAATGTTCAACATAATATATTGTACATAAGTATACTTTTGCATCTACTATGAACTTATCATCATAATTCTCCGAAAAGCAATATGACACTATGAAGGAGTTGTAACAGTGCGTTTATAAGTATGCTCATTCTGACTAGAGGATGTAGAGGGCAAATGCATCATATTGTGTTCAGCAGAACATATCCACTTGATGCATCAGGTCACTGTTGTGAGAAAGGACACCTGCCTTGTAAACTCCTATGGGCCTGATTTGAACACAACAGGCAAAGGTTTTGCTCAAGCTGAATCTGCAATTGGACGACTACTACCATCATAACTCCATCTGATCATCCACAAAATGACTCAAATATCAAAACATGATCAATACTAAAGTAACAACCCAGTCATTACTTGAAACTGAAAAATGTCCTGTTCATCTTAAAAAGAAGTTGTTTTCAAAATTGCGAGAATTCCGTCTCGCTCTTCTTGGGCTGAAGACTAGTCCTGATGCTAACTAGCCTTTCACAGGCCGCTGAGGCAGGTAGAGGTGTGTTCAGCTTCACAGACAGCTTTGCACAGCTGGGAAGGATTTCCCTAATGCTAACCCTAATGCTAACACTAATGCTGACTCTAATGCTAACCCTAATGCTAACACTAATGCTGACTCTAATGCTAACCCTAATGCTGCGCTCTCGCGGCTCCTGTCAATCCTATGGTGTGGTGGCTAGCTACCGTTAAGTTAGCTAACGTTAGCTAACTAGTGCTGCAATGATTATAGCTAAGATGACTCAAATCAACAACATCTCACAACTGTCAACACTTCCTCAGCTCACTAACTCGCTGGTGATCCACGGGAGTTGGTCTTTGTCACCACTGTAGTTTGTTGCGGGAGTAGCAGGTGCTTCCATTTCTGCTTCCGTCATGAAATCAGTCATCGTAGAGTGGAAGGTAGTCGCTCCCTAGCTATAGCATATGGCATCCTGGGCATCACTGGGAATCAAAACACCGCGGCTTTGAGAGCACTTGTTTGCAATTGCGCATTAACGTGATTAACCAATGATTTAACTTGCAAGCTAGGACCACTGATTCACCAAACCTGCTTGCTTGCAGTCTGTGTTCCACCACAGTCCCCGACGCTGGTCTCATGATTCATGTTGTTTCTAAAGATAGATTTGATTTTGTAGCGAGTAACGAAGGTTTCAGGGGAAATGTATCAGATTAAAAGTCAGTTTTCTTTGCAAAATGTAGCGAAGTAAAAGTAAAAGTCAACAGAAATATGAATAGTAAAGTAAAGTACAGATATCCAAAAAAACAACTTAAGTACAGTAACGAAGTATTTCTACTTCGTTACTATACACCACTGTGTATATATATGTGTATACTGTATATGTATATATATATATGTATATATGTGTATATGTGTGTATATATGTGTATATATGTGTGTATATATGTATGTATATATGTGTATATGTGTGTATATATATATGTGTAAATATGTGTGTATATATGTGTGTATATATGTGTGTATATATGGATATATGGGTGTATATGTGTGTATATATGTGTATATATGTATGTATATATGTGTGTGTATATATGTGTAAATATGTGTGTATATATATGTGTAWATATGTGTGTATATATGTATGTATATATGTGTGTATATATGTGTGTATATGTGTGTATATATGTGTATATATGTATGTATATATGTGTGTGTATATATGTGTAAATATGTGTGTATATATGTGTGTATATATGTGTGTATATGTGTGTATATATGTGGATGTGTATATGTGTATATATGTGTATGTGTATATGTGTATATATGTGTGTATATATATGTTTAAATATGTGTGTATATATGTGTGTATATATGTGTATATATGTATGTATATATGTGTGTATATATATGTGTAAATATGTGTGTATATATGTGTGTATATATGTGTGTATATATGTGTATATATGTATGTATATATGTGTGTGTATATATGTGTAAATATGTGTGTATATATATGTGTAAATATGTGTATATATGTGTGTATATATGTGTATGTGTATATGTGTATGTATATATGTGTATATATGTGTGTATATATGTGTGTATGTATGTGTATATACTGTATGTATGTGTATATATGTGTGAATATATGTGTATATGTGTATGTATATATGTGTATATGTGTGTATATATGTATGTATATATGTGTATATACTGTATGTATGTGTATATATGTGTGAATATATGTGTATATGTGTATGTATATATGTGTGTATATATGTGTATATATGTATGTGTATATGTGTGTATATATGTATCTGTATATGTGTGTATATATGTATGTGTATATGTGTGTATATATGTATGTATATATGTGTATATATGTATATATGTGTGTGTATATATGTGTGTATATATGTGTGTGTATATATGTGTAAATATGTGTGTATATATTTATGTGTAAATATGTGTGTATATATGTGTGTATATATGTGTATATATGTGTATATATGTATGTATATATGTGTGTATATATATTTGTATATATGTGTGTATATATGTATATATGTGTGTATATATGTGTGTATATATGTGTATATGTGTATGTGTATATGTGTATATATGTGTATATATGTGTATATATGTATATATATATGTGTATATATGTGTATGTGTATATTTGTATGTATATATGTGTGTATATATGTGTATGTATATATGTGTATATATATGTGTATGTGTATGTATATATGTGTGTATATATGTGTGTATATACGTGTGTATGTATGTGTATATGTATGTATGTATGTGTATATATGTGTGTATATATGTGTATGTGTATATGTGTATGTATATATGTGTGTATATATGTATACATGTGTGTATATATGTGTGTATGTATATGTGTATATATGTCTGTATGTGTGTATATGTATGTGTGTAAGTATATGTATATGTGTGTGTATATGTGTGTGTATATGTGTGTATATAAGTGTATATATGTGTATATATGTGTATATATGTATGTGTATATGTGTATATATATGTATGTATATATGTGGGTATATATGTGTATATGGGTGTATATATGTGTGTATATATGTATGTGTTTATGTGTGTATATATGTATGTATATATGTGTATATATGTATGTATATATGTGTGTATATATGTGTATATATGTGTGTATATATATGTGTATATATGTATGTATATATGTGTGTATATATGTATGTGTATATGTGTATATATGTATGTATATATGTGTATATATGTGTGTATATGTGTGTATATGTGTGTATATATGTGTGTATATATGTGTGTATATTTGTGTATATGTATGTGTATATGTGTATATGAATGTGTATATGTATGTGTATATGTGTGTATATATGTATGTGTATATGTGTATATGTATGTGTATATGTATGTATATATGTGTGTATATAGTATGGATGTATATATGTGTATATATGTATGTGTATATGTGTATATATGTATGTGTATATGTATGTATATATGTGTGTATATAGTATGTATATATATATATGTGTATATATGTATGTGTATATGTGTATATATGTACGTGTATATGTATGTATATATGTGTGTATACTGTATATGTGTATATGAGATAAGAGATAAGGTGATCGATTCTAATCAGGACCGACTCATCTCCAACGAACCAACTAAGTTAAAGTTATTTAATGACGTCTTCTCGAGATAAAGACATCACACTGTAGTAATGTTGCTGTATGACGTCAGAAGATCAGTTTCACTGTGTTTCTGCTGTGTTCCGCGCCACACACGAAAGAAGAGGCGGTGAGGCGCGAGCCTATGGCCAAATCCCAATGTCCCCCCTTACGGACTCACAGACTTTGAGGCGTGAGGGTTTAGGGATCTCCCACTGTCAAATCGTCAAGTGTTTGAGGCTCTCGCAGACATTACCCACAAATCATTGCAATGTGACATTAAACGGGGTAACCAGTGGACGCATGGAGACATAAAGAAAAAGGTAAACAAGAGGACGGCTCACGTGTGTTCAGCCTCTCATATTAGGCTCGTTCGACATAAGCCAGGTGTGCGCAGAATCGATCACCGGTGATCGGCGCACAATGCATGCTGGGTAGATTTGCGTCCGACTTGCTCTGATGTCATGACAACGTGCGTAACGATGATCTCACGTGAGCGAGGTGGCCGCAGATTTTAGAGCCAGGCGCTGCAGTTGCTCTCCACTGACTGCGTGACCCCAGGGCATGATGGGAAACTTCTTGCTGTCTTCGGATCAAAGAGCTGATTGGCTCTTAGATTTTCTTTAGTGGAAAATGTGGCTCGTCTGGTGCCCACAACGTCGGCTGTTCGAGCCTTGGCCTTTGACATGTGTCGCCTGTCAAAGACAGCCCACTGCTCCCCATATATAGGGATGGGTCAAATGCACAGACACATTTTGGGGTTAAGTGTCTTGCTCAAGGACACATCGACATGCATCGACTAGCGGAGCCGGGGATCGAACCACCGCTCCTCTGATTGAAGGACGGCCCTGCGCTCCACTTAGCCACAGTCACCCAAGATCAGCTCTAGACTATGGCTGTGTGGCATAAAACCTTGTTGGTAAAACTGGATGTAATACAAGCATCAAGAATATGTAGTGGGGTCTTTAAAACAACATCTGTGCCGGCATTGCATGTAGAAATGGGGGAAATGCCGCTGGAGTTGAGAAGAATATAGATAATGATGACATATTGGGTCAGTTTACAAGGACATAACCATCCAACAATAAGTGCTGGGAACATGACAACAGGCCAACAAAGAGCTTTGGTTGGGTTGTTCAGAAGAAGGCTAGTGAATTAGGTTATAGGAGTTATTCTCCAGCTGTGGTCCAGCTGTTCCTCTTTGGTTACTGCCACAGCCTGGAATAGATCTTGGCCTCCTTGAACTGATGAGAGATGAACGTGCGGGAAACTGTAAGATCTTCAAGTCATACATCAGTTACCACAATTAAATACAGATTTATGGATCTAAAGACCCTAAAACTGGTAGAACAGCAGCAGCAGTAATCCCAGAATTCCATTATGAGTGTGGGAAGAGACTCAGTGATGATGTATCTGTGTTTACATGTGAGATGATGGCCATAGAGTTATTGCGTTACAGTGGGTAGAGGACGTCAGGCCAGAGAGAGTGGTGATTGCATCAGACTCATGTGCAGTGCTAACGAGTTTGACATGTTGCCACTCCAGAAGCAGAGAGGATCTACTGTTTGAAATACTACAATCATTTTTAAGAATCCATCAAATGCGGATAGCGGTTCATTTAGTGTGGGTCCATGTTGGAGTCGCTGGATGAGAAGGCGGATAAAGCTGCAAAAAGGTCTTTGAAGATTGGGAGAACAATCATTAATGTAAATATAAGTAAGTCAGAAGCTAAAGTGGTGATTAAGGGACAAATCAAAAAGATATGTCAGAACGAATGTAATAAAGGGAGTAAAGGAAGATATCTGTTTAAAGAGGAACCATTGGTTGGGAGCAGGATCTAGTGGACGAACTAGAAAAGAGGAGACGATTATGACGAGACTAAGGAACGGCCATACTGGTCTGAACAGTTCCCTCGATGTTATTAGAAAGCATAATAATGGAAAGTGTACATTTTGTGGAGAAGAAGAAACCGTGGACCATGTTTCATTGTCCTGTCAGAGGTACGAGTCAGAGAGAGAAGTTTTGAAAAAAGGTCTAAGAGAGATTGGAGAGGAAAGCTTGAGTGACAAATGTTGGAAACTTTTTCTGGAATATTTAGAGTCAACAACACTAACGAATAGAATTTGAGAAAGAAATGTATTATTATTCATTTTTTCGATTTTATTATTTTATTTTTTCTATATATGTATATATATATATATATATATATTTATATACATATCTTTATTCATTTACACACATATGTGTATGTATGTGTGTGTATATATGTATATGTATTTCTTTTCGTGTGGTTGTCGTATTAGAGTCCTTAGTCCACTCCAGATTAGTGGGAGGCGGTAATGCACCCGAAAGCTGTTTGCCAACCGCCAAAAAAAGCAAAAGAAGAAGAAGAAGAAGAAGAAGAAGAAGAAGAAGAAGAAGAAGCAGGCGGCTGAAAACGGTCCGACTTGAACGCAGTTTTTTGTCAACGCCCCTTTCTACGTCCGCCTGCTCTCGTCTGCTTTCCAGGCGAGGCGCAGTTCATCTCGAACGAGCCTATTAAATGTACTCAGAAACATTAAGGGTTAAAGATGGAACAAAAAATAAACATGAAATCAGAGAATATTTATTTATTTATTCATCAAATATTAGATTTTGTCATTGAAGCTGTTTTGACAAAAACGAGTAAATAGATGATATGAAGTTACCTCTCATCTAGTGAGGAAAGAGCCTGAAGACGTTCACATCAGGGAGTACAAAGTATACAATAAATACACACAATTATACATCATAGTTATTGTAGTTTTCATGGGAACGTGATATGTTGCAGCAAAGTGCTGTCCCGTTCATATTTACACCATCTCAAGCCCTCACAGCCTCTCACACTCACCCACTCACCAGGTGACCTCAGTGAGTCCTTGAGGGTTCAGGGTTTGAGGGTTTAGGCGGACGTTGGGATTTATTATTCTGAATTATTCTGTGATCAAATTCATTGTGTTCTTATATTTTGAAAACTTCTCCCCGGATGTTTTTATTTCGTTGTTTCCGGTCAGCTGTCAATGAAGATGTCAACATGTCGCAGAAAACCGGGTTTAACCGTGCTTAACCGGGTTTAACCGGACAGTCGATTTTAGCGGAAGAATGGACACGTTCAGTAAGCTAAGCAGCATGCTGCTGCACGTGCTAGAGACGGTGAGTTAGCAGCTAGTTAACGTTAGCTTACCTAGCATCGTTAGTGATCGATCGATGACGTCATTGATCAGTCTGTCCACGTTGTAAAAGTTATTATTCATAATTATTACTTCTGACTGACGTCACTACACAGGATTCAAATCTTCAGAACTTTTTGCAGATTTCATCTGTCCCTCTCAACCCGTCTGTCTCTCTACCCGTCTGTCCCTCTCAACCCGTCTGTCCCTCTCAACCCGTCTGTCTGTCTCCACCCGTCTGTCTCTCAGAGGGAGCCTACAGTGGACCTGTTGGAGTCCTTTGTGGATCATTGGAAATCAATCACAAACTATTACATCAAGACGACAGGTGAGGTTTCACCTGAGACACAGTTACCTGTTCACACCTGATCAGCCAATCAGATTCACCCTGTGTGTGTGCGCGCGTGTGTGTGTGTGTGTGTGTGTGTGTGTGTGTGTGTGTGTGTGTAGATGACAGTCGTCCTGTCAGACAGACAGACATCCCCTGGTGTCTCGGACACATGTTGGACATCCTGGTGTACGAAGAGAAGCAACAGGTAACGCACTTGTCAGGTAGAAGTACAAGTACTCAGACTGTAGTACTTGTACTGTATAGATCATCAGCTGTATAGATCATCAGCTGTATTGATCTTCAGCTGTATTGATCTTCAGCTGTATTGATCTTCAGCTGTATTGATCTTCAGCTGTATTGATCATCAGCTGTATTGATCTTCAGGTGTATAGATCATCAGGTGTATAGATCTTCAGCTGTATTGATCATTAGCTGTATTGATCATCGGCTGTATTGATCATCAGGTGTATTGATCATCAGGTGTATTGATCATCAGGTGTATAGATCTTCAGCTGTATTGATCATCAGCTGTATTGATCTTCAGCTGTATTGATCTTCAGCTGTATTGATCATCAGCTGTATTGATCATCAGCTGTATTGATCTTCAGCTGTATTGATCATCAGCTGTATTGATCATCAGCTGTATTGATCATCAGCTGTATAGATCATCAGCTGTATTGATCATCAGCTGTATAGATCTTCAGCTGTATTGATCATCAGCTGTATTGATATTCAGCTGTATAGATCTTCGGCTGTATTGATCATCGGCTGTATTGATCATCGGGTGTATAGATCATCGGGTGTATTGATCTTCAGCTGTATTGATCATCAGCTGTATTGATCATCAGCTGTATAGATCTTCGGCTGTATTGATCATCGGCTGTATTGATCATCGGGTGTATAGATCATCGGGTGTATTGATCATCGGCTGTATTGATCATCGGGTGTATAGATCATCGGGTGTATTGATCATCGGCTGTATTGATCTTCAGCTGTATTGATCTTCAGCTGTATTGATCTTCAGCTGTATTGATCATCAGGTGTATTGATCATCAGGTGTATAGATCTTCAGGTGTATAGATCATCAGCTGTATTGATCATCAGCTGTATAGATCATCAGCTGTATTGATCATTAGGTGTATTGATCTTCAGCTGTATTGATCATCAGGTGTATAGATCATCAGGTGTATTGATCTTCAGCTGTATTGATCATCAGCTGTATAGATCAGCTGTATTGATCATCAGCTGTATTGATCATCAGCTGTATAGATCATCAGCTGTATAGATCTTCAGGTGTATTGATCTTCAGCTGTATAGATCATCAGCTGTATAGATCTTCAGGTGTATTGATCTTCAGCTGTATAGATCATCAGGTGTATAGATCATCAGGTGTATAGATCATCAGCTGTATTGATCTTCAGCTGTATAGATCATCAGCTGTATAGATCTTCAGGTGTATTGATCTTCAGCTGTATAGATCATCAGCTGTATTGATCTTCAGCTGTATTGATCATCAGCTGTATTGATCATCAGCTGTATTGATCATCAGGTGTATTGATCTTCAGCTGTATAGATCATCATCTGTATAGATCATCAGCTGTATAGATCGTCAGCTGTATAGATCATCAGCTGGATTGATCATCAGCTGTATTGATCATCAGCTGTATTGGTCTTCAGCTGTATAGATCATCAGCTGTATAGATCATCAGCTGTATTGATCTTCAGGTGTATTGATCATCAGCTGTATTGATCTTCAGGTGTATTGATCTTCAGGTGTATTGATCATCAGGTGTATAGATCTTCAGGTGTATAGATCATCAGCTGTATTGATCATCAGCTGTATTGATCTTCAGCTGTATAGATCATCAGGTGTATTGATCATCAGGTGTATAGATCATCAGGTGTATAGATCATCAGGTGTATAGATCATCAGGTGTATAGATCTTCAGCTGTATAGATCATCAGCTGTATTGATCTTCAGCTGTATTGATCTTCAGGTGGAGCACACAGGACCTTGTCTGGAGTATCTGCTGGAACACAAACTGTTAGAGACTCTGTGCACTCTGGGTAAAGCTCAGGTAACAATAGATCAATATAACTATTAATAATAACAGATAATAAGATAATAATAATAATTCATACAAAATAAATAATTCCTCTCCTCCTCTTCCTCAGTACCCCCCCGGTATGGTCCAGCAGGTCTTCCTGTTCTTCTCTAAGTTCTTGTCTCAAATCCAGAAGCCTTTGTTACAGCTGGTTAACGTCTACAGACCTGTGCAGGTAAACGTTACACCTGGTGTGGGGTGGGGGTGGGGAGGAGGAGTCATGTGACCTAACAAGCTGCTCTAATTCACTGATACATAATAAAGTCATGATGATGTCACTGTCTGACATCACCTCTGTTCCGCCCCCAGAAGCTGATTGGTCTGTGTGCACTTCCTGGTTCCCAGACTGAGAAGGAGGAAGCTCAGTTCTTATTGGTTCTCTGCTCCAGAGTCAAACAGGATCCGCCCACTCTCAGATACGTCTTACAGGTAACGACCACAGCGCCCTCATCACTAATGGAGTCATTAATAATAATAATAATAATGTGGTGATGATCCCTCTCACAGAATCAATAAAACACTTATTGATCCGATCACATTTAAATCTCCAGATTCTGGATCAACCAGCAGCCGGGACATCAGCTTCTGACCAATCACAGCCCGGCACACAGCCGTCCAATCACAGGACAGAGCCGCCCGCCGCAGATATATACATGTATATATACATGTATATATATATATATATATACATGTATATATGTATATATATATATATATACATGTATATATATACATATATACATGTATATATATACATATATGTATATATATATGTATATGTATATATATGTATATGTATATATATATATATATATATATATGTATATATATTGATGTTTGATAAATGGATCACAGGAAGCTGAAGTGATCCATCATGTGATGAAGGACTCAGGTGTAATGGTGGTCTGATACCCTGAAGTACAGCGTCGGTGTATTTTACTGTGTACTTGTACAATACCTGAGTCTGATTCAAGGTTTTATTGAGACTGTCAGTCCTCGACCTGCAGACTAGACTCATCTCTGTGAGCAGTTCTGTGTGTGTTTACTGTGTACTATATGGAGGAGGAAGAGGAGGAGGATCCTTCTTTTCCTCTTCCTCCTCCAGAGCTCCTGATAACCGGAAGCAACATTAATCTAAATATGAATTCAAAGAGAAAAGACATAATTATTATTCTCTTAAAAATGATAATAATACTATGTATGAATATAAAGGTGAATAAAGACATGATTATTGTGTCAGACTGATTATTTTTGGATTTATTAAGAATTTCAATATCAGGACGGTCCCGGGCTTTTATTGTGAAGGTCCGTACCGGATGCATGAGTTCCTCCCTGCAGCGGAGGAGAGAAGAAGGAAAGGAGGAGAGCTGAAGGTCACATCTGGAGCATCTTCTTCAGCATCATCGATACAGCGTTCTGATCATCGATCAACGGCTGCACGAGGACAGCGGCATGACGTGAGACAGGTCGACCGGAGCGACAGACGGATCGGCTGCTGCATCTCTGCTGCCTGTCTGTGTGACTGGTTCTCCTGCAGCTTCTCCTCAGTCTCTCTCTCTCTCTTTGCACCTGGCTGTCTCTCCGCGGCCATGGGGAACCGTGGGATGGAGGATCTCATCCCGCTGGTGAATAAGCTCCAGGACGCCTTCTCGTCCATCGGGCAGAACTCGAGCCTCGACCTCCCGCAGATCGCTGTGGTTGGCGGGCAGAGCGCGGGGAAGAGCTCGGTGCTGGAGAACTTCGTGGGGAAGTGAGTCTGTCTGAGTCTGTGAGTCTGTCTGAGTCTGTGAGTCTGTCTGTGAGTCTGTCTGTGAGTCTGAGTCTGTGAGTCTGTCTGAGAG